AAAATAAACAAATTTGCCAATCCAATTTAAAGTAAAAACATCAAGAATAAACATTTTATAATGTCTTTTATAATAGCATAAGAATTTTATCTTTATTCTGGAATAAGTATTTTTTCCTTTAATTTTATTGTAAATAACTTTGAAACATCGATGTATTATGCATATATGTTAGGTTTTTTTCACAAGGCATAATAATAAATGAGTCAGACGGTCAAAAAAAAATAAAGGGAGAGGGAGATAGTTGGGAGATAGTGTGGAGAGAGGAGAGAGAGTGGGGGAGAAAAGGGGAGAGAGAGAGTGGGGGAGAAAAAGGGGGGAGAGAGAGTGGAGAGAGAGGGAGGGGAGAGAGAGTAGAATGGGGAGAGACGGGAGAGGGTGGAGAGAGAGAGACGGGAGAGGGTGGAGAGAGAAAGGGACGGGAGAGGGGAGAGAAAGTGGGGAGAGAGAGAAGAGAGGGTGGGAGAGAGAGAGTAGGTGGAGAGAGAAAGAGGAAGTCGAGAGAGAGATAAGAGGAAGGAGTGGGAAGAGGGAGGCAGAGGGATAGAAGATGATATTACCGTGTATAGACTTGTCTTAAACACCTCTTTTTTTATGTAAAAAGCCTCATTTTGTGAAGGCACTAGCAAACAACAAAAGACACTGGTAAAGATTTTGAGCTAATCACGTTTTGTACCCCTGATATCGAAGGTCAGAGGCATATTGATTCAGTCCTGTGTGATATTTTTTATTATTTATATATTTCACACATTTAATCTTCCCTATATTTTTATGAGAAGAAGTTTGAGATTTCATTCATAGAAATTGAAAGATAATTATGAGATAAAATTTTCTTAACAATCTCTCTTTTTAAAGCAAATTTAATTGGGATGAGTTTTAAAACGTTAATCTTTCTTATAACTTATGAAGAAGAAAGAAGTACGAAAGCCCATTGAGCTCATTTTCGTAGGTAACAAAAATATATTTTTCGCGTTATAACGTTTTTCTCTGTAATGAATAAACTAGATCATTAAAAAGTAAAACAAACTGTAGACTTATGCAAATGTCTCTGTTTTACAGGGAAAGTTTCGCGTTATAACGCGAAAGTTTCGCGTTTATTCGCGAAAGTTACGCGTTTATTCGCGAAAGTTTCGCGTTTATTCGCGAAAGTTACGCGTTATAACGCGAAAGTTACGCGTTTATTCGCGAAAGTTTCGCGTTATAACGCGAAAAATATTTTTTTTTATCTACGAAAATGAGCTCAATGGGCTTTCGTAAAGAAGACTTTATTTTGATTTTTTGCACATTTAGATAATTAAAACTGTGGAAACTGAAAATTTATTATTAAGATATTGCAACCCTAATAGCAAAAGATACAATGAAACTGAATACATATCAGATGTGTAGGTGTTGAATACTCAGTATATTTAGACATAATTCCCATTTATTACTATAAGCATGGAAGGGTGGGATGTGTCCTAATTTATGATCTTGAATTTTGGTAAGAGTTATCTGTTTTTAATTAATAAAAAAAATTAATCTTAACAACTTATCTGGTAAAAAAAACCGTTTTCAATTGTCATTCTATTTCCAATGTTTAATGCATCCTTCTACCACAATATTTATTGATATTATGATATGAATTTTTAAAAAAATTCTTGTCCCCATAGACTTCAAAGCAATTTTTGTTAATTAATTACTGCTCAGTAAATTACATTTTTGAAACTTTCTCTAGGTAAATCCTTTTGAACTATAAAATACTTTAAATTAATATCAAAGTATTATGTACATGATGAACATTTAAGGATAGAGAATTTGGTCCTATTAGGGATGGAAAACCTTGATTGTGATAAAACAAATCAAAGAAAGCTCGTATTCTTGTTCTAATAGTCAAAGAACATCATTATAGCCTTGTTATGTTTTCCTTTAATTGGGATAAACCACCTTGTATTATTTATGTAAAGTATAGTAATACCTTTTAATTTTGTTATTTAAACTTTAAAGCTTTTAGAAATGAACACTTCATATCATAAGACTTTGTGATTTTAATGACTCCCACGTATTTGCCTAACAAATAATTTCTTTACAAAGCCATATTTATCAAAAAATGACAGAGGGTCATTATTCTGCGGTGTCATTTTTCTACAATCCACACGGAGAAAAATGACCCAAAGGCAATATTTTCTACGAAAACGTGGGTCATTATTGATCAGGGGGGTCAAATTTCTACATAGAAAAATGATCCCTGGTCAATATTCTACGGGGGTCACTTTTCATCGTTACACCGGCATTGGAAGTGGATATCATGGGTCTTTCGGATGAGACCTGAAAAGCCGAGGAGGTCCTGTGTCACAGTAGGCGTTGGCTTGATAAATAACCTTCACTGCTCAATGGCCCTAAGTGCCGAGTATAGGTCTAAATTTGAAGCCTTTCATCGGTATGTGGTGAGTCTCAATATGAGTAAAAAATTCTCAAATGGGACCTAAAACAATATACAATCAATCAATAAAGTTGGAATACATTGCTGTTATCCTGGTCTGTTCGTTTCGTTCGTCTGTCTGTCACACTTTCGTCTGCTTCAAACTCCTCTTACATTAAGCAGTGGCCAATTTTTGTTTTGGAATATGATAGGTAGTGTATTGTAGATTTGCAAAAAGGTTTCAGAATTTTATTTTTACCTTAGGGGTCATTTGGAGTCGAACAAACTTTATTCCAGAACTTCCCCAGCATTTAAAGCTGTAGCCAGTTTATCCTCTGGAATATGAATGGTGGCGTCTCTAAGATGTGTAATAAGGTTTTAGAATTCTCAATTTAATCCTGGGGCCAATAAGAGGTTGAAAATGACTTTTTCTTTAAATACCTGGTTCAACTCCTCTTAACAAATAATTTTACACCTTTTTAAACAAAACAAAAAAACTGGTTTTCAGAAATGCTCTAGAATATGACTGGTGGTGTCTAATTAAGGAATTTTTTTTAAAGTTTTGTGTGAGTTATTGGTGTGTAAATCACACGGACTTGTCACGTAGGCATATTTCATGAAGCGCGCTAGCGCTTCATGAAAAATATGCCTACGTGCAAGTCTGTGATTTACACACCTATAATTCACACTAAACTTAAAAAGTTAAACATTCCTTATATTTACAGTTTACATGTTCAAAAGCACCAAAAATATACTCAATGTTTGAATTATTCGCTGCCCTATATTGTTACGTTTTTAACGTCTCTGTAGCTTATTGTGACGTCACTTTAGCGCAAGTTTCTCCGTGCATATTTCTACGCGTGAGTATACACGAAAATGGCTTTCAAATCAATTTCACAGTTGGCTTAGTAGAAAAACATAGCAAATGTAAATATATATATGTAAATTTTGGCATAATTAATTTTGCTTCTACACTAGTTTCCCAGGTACAAAGGAGATTGAATAGTGTAATTTTATAGGTAAACACTTATGTGCGGGTATTACTGTCTTAAATAGCATCTAGTTAAACTTGGATACTAATAAATATGACAATTGGATAAACACAATAAGACAGATCACCATATGCATCCTCGTTTCAGAATGAAGCATTCAATTAATTCCTACAGGACGGTACAATGACTAAGAAGTTGTAAGAGGCGTAATCAGTACATGTATTCATTAGAGACATGACTTTTTTCAAGATAATGTACAACCTGTTTTTGTTTGTGTTCCTTGGTATTTGCAGAATGCTGTTGCTTTTACACTGTATATGTAAAATGTCTTTTTAACTTTAAACGGCGGATGCATGAAGCGGGGGGGGGGGGGGGTATTAGATCGGTCAGAAGACATCTCTTAAAGTAAACATCTCTTTTGCTGTGCAGAGATCTCTCTTTAAAAGTTATTTCGTGATTAAAAGAACTGACTCTTTGTTAAAATAAATATTTTTGTGAAAAAAGAAATGTCTCCTATTGAGAAGGCATCTGTCGTGGATAAAATTATTTCTAACATTTGACAGGTATTTCTTATACATAAAAATTATATATTCTCCATTTATATGGAGATCTGATAAAAGAAATTTTAGCAAAGTTTTTCTAATCTAATGAATATCTTGTCCTTAAGATTCCTCGATTCGGGAATTATTTTGCCTTGCCGTGTTTTAGCCGTAAAAACTAGCAAACTTTGCATCTGTGATGCTATTGCATTCAAACTCGTCTTCCTTAATTAAATCCGATATTCCAAATCTAATTTTAAAGCTCATACAAACTGATAAATACATGTAAAACATATTAAGATTCAAAATCCGTGTGTCTTCAGTATATTTTGAAGATGCCGTGAAACAAAATAGTCGTCTCCATTATCTATTTTATATCTTTACTGCTGGTTACATTAAAAGATTAGCAATATTTGCCATTCATTGATTAATTTATTTACCATATATTGATAGTGTTTTCAATTTTAAAAAATTCAGTTTTTGAGCAGGGAATAATACTAGGAAAATGGTATCTAAGAAGACCACGGACTTTTCTTAAATACTTTTATACGTAACTTAAAATTGATGTTAAAAGCATACATTAGGGTATTCTATTAAAAAAATAACATGCAGTACAATTTGACACTGTTATTATACTGGTACTTCCTACTCGTCTCTCCAACTCCGATGCAATTTGTTCTTTCAAAACTATCAAGGAATCTTCCGCAATTGTTTGCTAATAGCCTCCTGTTTAAGGAATCCATTTTTTAAAGAAATCTGTGAAAGATCACGTAATAATGGCTAAGTAGTATGCACATTCGGACAATAATTACTCTGTACACACAGCATGAGTTGGTTAGACAGGATCGATCCGTGGATCCAATGAATACTTGATTAGCCTTTTTTCGTTTATCAGAATCTTATGATGGCGCGTCCACTCTAGATGACAGTCTTTTTTAAAGTCTCTAAGACATTTGGTGTTTGATCATGTGGTTCCTTTCCTCTTGAACTAGAAATGAATCTTTGTAAAATGTATCCGAAAAACGATTGATTTTAGTCATTTTAAGAGTGAAAAAAATGAGTGGGACTGTTCATAAAATTCCAATGCAAGTTTTTCATTTGAGAAGTTATAAAGGATGTGATGAAAATGTTACCCTTCTTCAGGCATGTTATGACAATCCGTTGTTTCAACAAGAAGAGTCGAAGTTCAATCCAGATGGAGTCCTGGAAAAGAAACCACGCTCCAAGGACTACACTCCGGCCGAAGACATCCCAGAAATTGAATTCCAAGAAAAAGATGAGGCCAAGAGAAAAAGAAAGTTGTGTCTCATTGGATTCATCATCTGTTGTGTAGCCGTCATTGGATTTTTAGTTGGATATTTAATCAGTTCCGCACAAAGTATGCCAGCTTATTTTTAAGTGATGATGATGATGATAATGTTGATGACCATGATGATTAAAAATGATTATTTCCTAGCTAGAAAGCATGCTTGGATAAAAATGCACTTTACTTGTTTTATAAATTTTATTGTGCAATTAATTGAATTTGTTCTCGTCTACAAATTTTTAATTTTAAAAAATCTAACTTTAGTAATATGAAAAATTTCTTTCAAGTTTTAACATTTCTAAAATTCAGCATGAATGTGTTGTTGCAGTACAACAGAATTGCAGTATATACTGAGTAATGATTTAAATATGACATGAAAATTTGCTTTTGATCATATCAGTATATATTATCAGTTTAACTTTTATTTTCATTTTTTTTTTTCAGAAAAAGACACGACATATCCCCCTGTTTATACAGCCATCACCACAACTCACGTGCCTTCATGTAAGTATGGAGAACGTATTGGAAATTTTGAAGCTTGTGAAGCAGATGGACGAAAAAACGAAATTTTTAAATTTGAAATCAAATGAATATATACAAATTATGCAAACATAAAATGATCATAAAGTAATCTACTAAAGATATGTCTAAGAAGCACCTAGGAGAATAATATTATTTGCAATTAAAAAAAAATGAATAAAGATCACCATTGTTTACTTTCAGTTTCATTCAAGACAGATACCTTTAATGGAAGCCTGCTTATAATAGCCGGGCCCTACTCTAATTACAACACAGAATATTCAGATAAAACCTCAATTGCATACCAGTATTTTTCTAGGACATTTTTATATCAGGTAGGACATTTCGTTACACTATAATTGTTCCTGGGTTTCCTTCTAAAGCAACTGAATCTTAAAACTCTTTGCGAGAACACTTTTATCTTTTCAGCACCAATGAGTGCCAATAGCGTTTAAAACTTTAAATAGATTTTACATATACTATGGACTACATGAATGTAGAAAACTACTTTGTCATCCATGAAAGTATATAAAGAGTGTTTTATAAAAATATAATTTTGATCACTAGAAGCATATATGGAGGTTTATTTAATGCTGTACCATGTTCGCTTATCAAGTACATTAAACTAGTAGGAAAATAAATTGACACGATGGGGAATCATTGCATATTTCAGTACTACATTTTTTTCTCTTCCGGTTTCTTACCTAGAATAATTCAATAATACTGAAAAAGAATCACTTTCAATTAGATTTAACAGAAATACGTGTAATAAGATTGCTTCCAATTGAAAATGACTGATTGACATTCATTTCCGCATTAGTTTCACGTTATTTGGATCGGTCTTCTGTCGAACTCGGCGAATATCCTCCTGTCTCTTGCCATTAGCCACCTGAGGATCCTACCAATCGTCTTCTTTATCCTTTTTGCTTCACAGAAAATTAAAAGTAGACAGCACTTTGAAGACCGATGATATTACCAATAAAGCCTCTTTTTAATGATATTCTTCTTGTTTTGGCATATCGAAGCTGGCAGGAAATCCATGTTTTTATCTAATTTTGTAACAAAAGGAAATGGCTTGTTACAAGTGATGTGTGCTGTTTCCGAACCTAATCCCATGTATCACATCAATTCTGTTTTCATTCAGGAGGCATCTTCCAATTTATATCGATATACTGCGAAAATTCTTACGTGGTTGATTTGAGTTCCGAGTAAATGTTATATAAAATGTAATCTTCTGCATGACGAGACGTATTATTGAATACGTTACAAACATCCTCTACCAACTTAATTCATTTCCAGTTTGAATTCGTATATGACAATATCAAATGTAATATAAGAATTTAAGTTTGGTAAAGGATTATTTTTGAAGAGTGATTCTATGCAAAGTATAACTTCTAATGTTACTTCTAATCTGATGAGCAAATAATCGTAACTTCCGTGATGAAACAGTCACCTGGTACAATATAAAAATTATACATGTAGTTTACGTTGTTATTTGGTGTTACGTCAAAGGTATTCGAAATATTGAGCTTTTTTCCTCCGAAATTCCCTCAGAAGGTATCAACAGTTGATGTAGAATAAACTAAATGCTGTTATAAGACAGTAATACCCGCACTTAAGCAGTTGTCTCTAAAACTATTCTGTGTATCTGTGTAGCTGATGAAGAAGCAGCAGTAGTTATTATATAATATACGTAATTATGTATGTATTGAATTGAACTGAAAATGCTCATGTGAATGTGTCCCAAGGATTTCATATGTAAGTATTTCAAACTACAAATTAGTTACCAGTATGAAATTAAAGAATTTAATGAAGTATGAATTCTGTCTAAAAATGAATTTTGGAAGAAAGTTTCTGTGCTAAAAAAATTAACTAAATATTTAGCCCCCCCCCCCCTCCTGATGAAAAAAAAAATCCGAAACCTTATTGCATTTCTACAGGACACCATCAATCATGTTTTTATTGATGATTTGGCTTCTGTGTAATATGCAACAATAGTTTGAGAACATGCTTTTTCTAAAAAAAAAAAAAAATTTTATGGCCTGAATTTGCCTTCCTTATGAAAATTAAAATGCTCAAACCTTATTGCAAATCTGTCGGCCCCAGGATCATGAAACGTCTTAAGCGTAAGTCAAATCTTGATGTTGTATTACAATGTTCTAGAAGTCAAGCAGAACAAAACTAAAATATTTTTCAATATTGTATTACAAAAGTATTGTTATCTGCAAATTTAGAGATTAATTCAATAGTTGATAAACATTCTACAGGCAATTGAAAATCTAACTTAAGTATAAGTCTGTTTCATGATCCTGGGGCCTGCAGGACACAATCAATCATATTTTAAGAGATGAATAGGCGTAAGACGAATTTGAGGGAAAAATTGTTTTGTTTAAAAAGAAATGCTTTTCACCCTCAGTTGGTCTACATGGTGAAAATAAAATTTCTGACACTTTATTGCACGTATATAGGACATCACCTATCATATGGCAAAAGATGAATTGGCTATTGCTTAAAATTCGCAGAGGAGTACGAGAAAGAAAATTTGAAGAAAAACGTCGGTTTTCGATTACAGTTGGCTCCTAGAAAGAAAATAAAACCTTATTGCACATCGGCGTCAAACCCATGTATGAAATTTCTTCTTCTTTTTTTTTTAAACTTTCCCAGACAAACTGTAAAATTCTTGTTCTCAGCATTTACTTACAGACAGTCTATAATATATAATATGATTAGCCTATTAGTCATGTACTCACTGGGAATAGAAAATTAAATTGTAAATTAGAGAACGAAAATATTTTAAAAGATGAATACTGCTTCAAATGTAAGAAGTGTGCGAATCAGAAGACTTTGCAGAAAAACGTCGTTTACGACCCCAGGATGAAAATGAAATTCGGATACTTTATAACACCACTCATAATACATGTATTCCAAAAAAATAAATTGGCTACTACTTAAATTGTAAGAGGAATTTGAGGAAGATTATTGTTTGAAAGACGGACGCACGGACCAGGCTAACAATAGTACTAGTATACCCGATTTTCTTTAGAAAGTGCTGGTATAACAAAACCACATTTTTCTGCACTATTGTCAGTCATCTACTACCGTATTTACCTTGTACTTACTAATATGAGTCCAACATTGTACATTACGAGACGAAACAAATAATTTTTAGAATTTTTTTAAAACAGTCTTTATATATAGTTGTGTGTGTATAAACTTCTTTTAAAATTAATAGAAAATTAAATATAAGATATGGTTTAAACTAAATGTCACTTTTGACCTAGACCAGTGTCGCAAACACTTTATTATTTAAGCAATTTTCCATCATTTCACAGTTCAGTTCAGTTCCATTTATATTTGATACATCGGGAACATAATACATTTTAACATGTCAAGACATAGAATAAAAGCGTTACAATTATAACTGTGTAAAATTAAGTTTACTGAAAAAATGTTTTTGTCTAGTGTAAACAAGATGATGCAATTAATGCACCGAGACCTTTGATGGTAACAGTAAAAACTAAAATTTACTTCATTGAACTTCAGGTACTGAAACGTTAAGAGAGAGAGAGAGAGAGAATGATGAAGTACGACGAGTTTTATGAAATCTTGTACTTTTATTTTTTTCAGATGAAATTAATTTTCTCAAAAAGTCCATTCCGATCACAGTACAGCTCTACAATCATTAACGAAATTAGGTATTTTTTGAACAATTTCCTTGATTGTTATATGGAAACAATCGTTGTTTAGATGACAAGTTGTCCCAATTATTATAAGTATAATTTTTTTTCATATTGTAGATCTGGAAATGGGCAATTGTCTAGCGTCCTCTACAGCATAAAATTTACTTCGCCAATAAATGTCTTCAATTGGACGGAATCATCGCTGGTGTCGCTACTAGTTTCCGGACTTGGAAGTGGAGTGATCCAAGCGTCGCCGGATTCGATAAAAATTACAGCGCTCAGTCAGTTTTATGGATGTCTTTATCCGTAAATTACCAAATTAAAAAAGACTTTAATCATATAATTTTTACTGTACCGATCATGTTCGTAATTACATAAGCATAAATTGATTGTTAAGTACCGATAAATAATTAAAAGAGAATTACGGTACATTTTAAGTTATTTACTTACAATTAAGGGACAATTGAAGACAATTTTTTTTGTTCCAAGTAAGGTTATAATGAGTTATTAGGAAACTGACACAAAAAATGAAAAGATAGAATAAGAGCCCTTTATTATTTTTTAAAGACCAATTCATACATTTTTTTATGTTGTAAACAAAATAATAATACCTAGTTTAATTCTTAGGGACAGAAACAACAGTGCTTCCTTCTGTATCACCAGGTAAAGAGCAGCTATTTTTTCCTGTATCTCTTTAAAACAACAAGGTTTAACTTTTGCAAAATGGTCAAATTTTTACCTGTATCACATGAATCACTGGAGTTAGGGAAAATATATCAAAAAGGCAGGGTTAGAACAATGTTATATATGGCAGTAATTGAGTCACTCGCTCCTACAATTGTACTCGAGAGATTTTTACCCTTTTTTCTAGGACAGTGCTTTAAAGTTAGTGTAAATCACTGCGTTAATCACACGACCTACACTCTGACAACTCTTCCAAACGCATTCGGGCACAGCACACTACAAGAAGTAGCAGAATCTTCGTCAAAGTACGCTGAAATTTTCGACGGATTTTGTTATGGATATGCTAAAGATTTCTGGTGCTCAGCGTATAACCCTGAGTGCAAAAATAATCAACCAGTATTGCCGTGTAAACAATATTGCCAAGGTAATTATTTTACTTTTAATAGCAAAGATATCTTGACCAGTTTCGATCACTGTTACTGCCAATGCAATAACTCCCTATGATAGTACATGTACTAAGAAAACTTAATATCTAATAGTTGCAGCAATACATATTTTCCTTTTTCTCTCTTGTGAAATGTCTTTATGTAAAGATATACTTCATATCCAATAGTTGCAGCAATACACATTCTCCTTTTTCTCTCATGTAAAATGTCTTTATGTAAAGATATACTTAATATCCAATAGTTGCAGCAATACACATTTTCCTTTTTCTCTCTTGTGAAATGTCTTTATGTAAAGATATACTTAATATCCAATAGTTGCAGCAATATACATTTTCCTTTTTCTCTCTTGTGAAATGTCTTTATGTAAAGATATACTTAATATCCAATAGTTGCTGCAATACACATTTTCCCTTTTCTCTCTTGTGAAATACACATTTTCTTTTTTTTCTACTCTCTCTTGTGAAATATCTTTATGTAAAGATATACTTAATATCTAATAGTTGCAGCAATACACATTTTCCTTTTTCTCTCATGTAAAATGTCTTTATGTAAAGATGTACTTAATATCCAATAGTTGCAGCAATATACATTTTCCTTTTTCTCTCTTGTGAAATGTCTTTATGTAAAGATAAACTTAATATCCAATAGTTGCAGCAATACACATTTTCTTTTTTCTCTCGTTTTAAATGTCTTTATGTAAAGATATACTTCACATCCAATAGTTGCAGCAATACACATTTTTTTCCCTCTCATGTGCAATGTCTTTATGTAAAGATATACTTAATATCCAATAGTTGCAGCAATACACATTTTCCTTTTTCTCTCTTGTGAGATGTCTTTATGTAAAGATATACTTAATATCCAATAGTTGCAGCAATATACATTTTCCTTTTTCTCTCTTGTGAAATGTCTTTATGTAAAGATATACTTAATATCCAATAGTTGCAGCAATACACATTTTCCCTTTTCTCTCGTTTTAAATGTCTTTATGTAAAGATATACTTCACATCCAATAGTTGCAGCAATACACATTTTTTTCTCTCTTGTGAAATACACATTTTCTTTTTTTTTCTCTCTCTCTCTCTTGTGAAATGTCTTTATGTAAAGATATATATATAATATCCAATAGTTGCAGCAATACACATTTTCCTTTTTCTCTCTTGTAAATTGTCTTTATGTAAAGATATACTTAATATCCAATAGTTGTAGCAATATACATTTTCTTCTTTCTCTCTTGTAATGCCTTTATTTAAAGATATACTTCATATCCAATAGTTGCAGCAATACACATTTTCCTTTTTCTCTCTTGTAATGCCTTTATGAAAAGATATACTTCATTGAGTCAAATGCTGACTGACGTTTTTCATACTAATTGTTAGGCCATTATTTACACACTGAATTGTCGACGGATTTTTTCGTTATTTCCCGATCATGACAAGGAGCACACGGCGGGTGTGACCGGTCGGCAGGGGATGCTCACTCCTCCATGGCACCTGATCCCACCTCTGATGTTTGGAGGTCCGTGTTTGCTCTGCTCCTATTTTATATTGTATTATGGACTTTTGAGCTTGAATACTGTTCGTTATCTCCATATATTTCATCCAATAGTTGCAGCAATATACATTTTCTTCATTCTCTCATGTAATGCCTTTATGTAAAGATAAGACGCATACGTGATTACTACTTACTAGTATACTAAAACAAAACGTCTCATTATAATCACAATATTCCTAATGTATCTATGTATATTTTTCATAAATGTAGTCATTATGTCCAGAAAGAAGTCCGATAAACGACTTCTAATAAATCTTTTTTTTCCAGACGTTAAATCAGCTTGCGAAAATACATCATTTCCATTAGATTGTAACAGTCTACCAACTTCCAACTGCCGAGAAAACCCATTCAAACGTAAGGATACAATCTTTTTCTATATTATCATGATCTTCTTGGTATGAAGTGGCCTGTTTGTCCTGAGAAGCAGAATTTTGTTTTTTCAGCCGGAAAATGCGTGGATGTTCCATATGGGCGAAATTATAATACCTGCATTAATTTAGGATTTACCCAGTCTGCTCTACCAAATTACGATCTTGAAATCAACTTCCCGAAGCCCAATATGATACTGGATCTAGTTTTCTCTATGCAAAGAATGACGAATTGTTATAAACATTCAGAGTTGTTTGGGTGTTCTGTGTTTGTTCCGAAATGTTCAGGATCAGAGGTGGTTCCTTATCATACCATACCGCCATGCCGATCTCTCTGTGAAGGTTTCCAACATTTTTTAATTTAATTTTTTTTATTGAAACTACTGTCTTCAGGGTTTTCAACAAGCAATTAATATCGTCATGAACGTTAATGGTAATTATAAATGTACCCCCCAAAAAAAATACTGTGATGAAATACTCATATGTAACATATTACATGTATATTAGATGTTTCAAAGTGCGAAGTAAATCCCTAGTGGCCATAGAAACTAAAGAGAGCCTGTAATTCCATTTTTAGAATACAAGAAGAACTGTTTCACGTTCTGGGAGATCTTTTCTACTCCATGGCCTAGGAATCTAACGTGTTCTTCTTTACCTGATGTAAATGACACATCTATCTGTATCGGTTACAACGAGGCTCACCAACCACTAGAAATTAAAGGTATACATTTTCTTCTTACACATACCAGTATTTATCCATTTAGAAAATTTCTTGAAACTATCAGTATTGTGTTTCTTAGATTTTCTTCTTTAAGTAAGTCTCCTGAGAGAAATTTTACCATTACTACATGTAAGTGTATTTATTATGGTTGTTTATGTTAAAATAGAAATGTTTATGAAAAATAAAACGAGGAATCAATATCTTAGCTAGTTTTCTTGCATCTTTCAGTAAAAAAATATTTAGTCACAATTTACTTTCTTTTGTTTTAAATATTTAATTTTTTTTTTTTTGTAGAATGCCAGTCAAACCAGATATCATGTGATACTGATCGTTGTATCGATATATCGTTCTTGTGTGACGATTATCGCGATTGTGAAGATAACGCTGATGAAGCTCATTGTGGTAAAAAAAAATTTTCAATATTATTTGGATTTTCATATTATAATTTGGATTATTGTAGAAATGTTTTGATGTTATTGTTTTCTTCATAGTTAGGGTCATTCATTCACGATTGTATTGCAGGGGTTGGGGGATGCAGTTTTGGTCAAAGGGGGCAAGAGTTAGGACAAAATATTACACCATGTAAATAGTTTTTTCAAAATTTATTCCAAAATATTTCATGGTTCACTGAAAGAACTAAAAACGGCGGTCTGTTAGGAGGGAAAGTATGGTTACTTAAAATTCCATTTTTTTTTTTTTTTTTGGAACGAAAGAGAGAAAAAAAGATATTTAACTACATATTTAGTTGCTTTCTCTATAAGTAAGTTCAACTGATAATTTACCTTTCTGTTTTCAGCTGCGTGCTCCACAGGAGAATACAAATGTAACCCTGTGTCCAGTCTCTGTATCAAGCACTCTGAGGTCTGTAATGGCGTCCCAGATTGTTATGAGGAGGTGGAGGAAGCTGAATGTAGTATGTCAATTAGAATCACTGACTCAAAATTTAATAATTTCAATGAGAAAGTCCTCTCAAACTTAAGTTGATGTTCTGTAAATTAATGAATAAATATGCTCCTATTCATATTCAAATAAATAAAAAATAAAATTTTATTGACGGTTGGATATTATTAATAAATGCAATCCTGAAAAGGAAAGTCAACACAGTTACATTGTATATTTTTCTTCAATGCACAGTACATGAAATATATGGAGATAACGAACAGTATTCTAGCTCAAAAGTCCATTTAAACAGTACAAATCAGGAGCATCTAGCAAACACGGACCTCTAAAACATCAGAGTGGGGATCAGGGGCCACAGAGGAGTGAGCATTCTCTCTCGCCCGGTCACACTCGCCGTGTACTCTTTATCATGATCGGGAAACAAATAAAAAATTCGAAGACAATTCAGTGTGTAAATAATGGCTAACAATTAGTATGAAAAACGTCAGTCAGCATTTGACTTAATGATAGATAGTATTTGCTGACAAGTCATTATATTGACCATAGAACTTACGAAATGATGACTTTAAACGAGACTGTAGATGTACGTTCAAATCTGAGCAACTTCATTGTCGTTCCAATTACATTGTAATATGAATGAGGAGTAATGAAAATTACACTGTACATTACGTATAAATAATATAATTCTTTGCAGTAAAATTGGGGAACGGATCAGATAGTGGCGTTATTCAGGTTTACAACTCCGTATCAGATGACTGGGAAGAAGTCTGTGCGGACGATTGGAATGAGACGTTAAGTGACCTTGTCTGTCAACAACTGGGATATAGGTATCCGTGTATAAGATGATAAAAGAAGCACTGAAACAAGTGTCACTATTATTAAGACAAAAATATTGAGGATTCACTCTAAGAAACTACAACTACAACATTGAAAAGTTGGCCTTGAGTAGTTCATGTAGACAACTATTCTTTTTTTTTCTAAAGTTATTATACAGTGCTTTTTGCTTCATAGTGTATTGCTAAGTAGAAATGTATCCAGTGCAATAAGTAAAATGTCTAATTATTAATTTTTTTTGAAAACTTTACAATTTCAGGGGAACAAGAACAACCATTTTCAAGAACAAAACTACAACCACGGCAAAACTAGATTTTCAAAATGTAAATGGATCAGCTAACACAAATTGGTTGCAATCATTCCTAAGAAAAGGGTAATTTCCGTCACCGCTTTAGCATTGTCAAGTAAAATCTGGTTTTATATGTTGGATTACTTTCAAGTTATTATCAAACACTTTAAAGAATCTATGTAAATGATGATGTTTTTTTAATCTTAGTTCTACGTGTACCGGAAACAATGTTGTCCATTTACAGTGTGGTCATCCTGGTAAGCATATGTAGATTCAAGAGATACATGTATGTAATTAAAGTAATTATTAAATATAATGTAAGGGGAACAAACTTCGTTACTCAAGTTAAAAAAAAAAGGTTTGCTTCAAAATCTTCAAAACATGCAAGAATTCATAATTATTTTCATAAATTATACAATAAAGTACTGAGTAATTTTATCAAGTTTAGTCCTTCAATCAATTAACACATCAGAAGAGAACAAATAAATGTTTTCCTTGGGGGGTAGGGGGGTGTTGCATTTTTTTGCCAAAACTACATTTATATTTTGGATTGTTTGATATGGTTGATGTTGTTTACAATATAGTACGTTATATATTTTGTAATAAACATAGAATACTGTATACCAATCATATTTTATGCATATAGGTATTTTATTAGATCAAATATTAAATGAATCAATAAATGACATTGAATTGCCCAATCATATTTATATGTACTTCCATATAACAAGCAAAATAATACGAACTAGTTCTTATACAAGCTTCTTTTACGTCTTTTTAAAAGTTAAAAAAACGTCTGAAATGTTTAAGACCTATTTACTTGTTGATTGTTCAATAATCTTCTCTTGTTTGTCCTAGTCTGTGGAACACGACCAGCCCATTTCCAGTCCGCTCTCCGTATTGTTAATGGAAAACAAGTCAAACCCGGTACATGGCCTTTTCATGTGGGTCTGTATGGGGGCAGAGGGATGCGTTACTTTTGTGGAGGAAGCATCTTAAACCAGAACTGGGTCGTTACTGCTGCCCACTGCCTCGGAGGGTAAGGTTACCAAAAATTAACATTATATACTAATTAATGCATAACTTAAACAGAAGAGTTAAAATGAAATTATAGTATTTTGGGTAATGAATATGAAAATTTAAAATAAATTACTTTAGAAATTGTACGTTTTGTTATTTGTAGATAAACTTATACACTCTTAAAAATTATGAAAATGATTTCTTTACATTTATTTTGAAATTTTCAAGCAGACCTTTCAAACATTGTTTTTCAGCAAAACAACAACTGATGATTTAACTATAATTGTTGGTGACACAAGGCGATTTGCTTATAACAGATATAGACAGCTTAAGAAAGCTAAGTCATTGCATGTCCACGAAGCATATTCCTCAGAGACTGTGATGAATGATATAGCCCTGATACAACTGGCTTCACCAGTGTACTTCAGTGACTATGTAAGGCCCCTTTGCTTGCCTGATAACACGACAGTTGTTGGTACACGCTGTTTTGCCGTAGGCTGGGGTAAAGTCAAACAAAAGGGTAAGTATGTGCTAAAGCATCTGAATTAAAGGTAATGAATCAGAAATACATAACTCGTAGGAATTAATCAAGAGTATCTTGATTTAATATAATGGACATCTATTTCATGATATTTTAAGATAAGGTCATAATGCAATAAAATGTACAGTTTTAATCTTTTATGAAAACTCAACTGATATCTCTAATCTTGATGTGAATATTTTCGTTACGTCTCATTTAGCTGCGGATTATGAACCGGTCTTGCGACAAGTCAATTTGGATGTAGCATCTTGGCAAGGATGCAAGCATGCTATAGCTACTTCCGGTATTCAGACTCCTTACAAACTTTCAGAGGACATGATGTGTGCTGGCGGAACTAGAGGCCACGATTCATGCCAGGTAAGTCGAAACTCTACTCTGCTTTTGATAAGATTTTTTTTTCAAAAAAAAAAAAATATCCTTAATTTATTTCATACATATGAAAATTAGAATTAAAAAATATACTGCGATACTATATCTATAAAGAACACATGCAACGTAATTTTGAATTTTTTTCTTATTCCCAGTATATTTGAAGAGTTTCAATAATTGAAAGACCAGTTAATAATGTATATTTGGTAATTTTTCTTTCATCTTTTATCATTGTCATCAATATATTGTCACATTTATATAATATCTGGTAAGGCTAACTTTAAAATAATGTTTGTTTGCCCTCTCCCGACTCTGGATGAAAAATTTGGGTCGGTAGGTAGGTGAAAAAAATTTCTCAGAAAATTTCAGTGCTAAATTTTTAAAATATATTTTCCAGAATATATAAAAAATCGTTGCTTCCTGAAGGTTAAAAAAGGTTTTTAGCCAGTCGGTCGGGAGAGGGCAAACCAACAATATTTTAAAGATGACCTAATGTATGCTGAATTTTTTGTCTAATTACATCAAATTGTACTACAATGTATGATTTTAAATGAAGCATATCTTGAAAAATCATCAGTGGGCAAGGTACGTCAATTAAACCAGCAGTGTAAATTCTCTTATATTTACCAGCATTGACTTCATGGAAGTAGGATTAAGTATTGATTTCACAGAATTACGTCTTGAACAAAAATGATTACCACTGTGCAGTAGTAATGACACATTCATTTGTAGGAATGTAAAAACGTAGGATGTTTGAATTTTCAAAATTAATTAACATGGCAGCAATGGGATCACAGTTTAGTGATTTATTAAACACCTAGATACGAGAAAACTTATTGTGCTTGTAATAACCAAAGAGAGCGAGATAAAATTTCGAAAATTCATTAACTCTAGAAGACTCTTTTGGATCAAAGCATTGTAAATGTTTAGGGACTTGGAAGTGGAATGCTTAGGCTGGTCCTCTTAGACTGGGACATACCCTTAAAAATACTTCATTTACAGACGTTTGACTGTTGGCTGTTTTATGCCCAGTTCACAGATTTGTTTTGTTTTTAGATATTTTTTTAGATTGCTCAATGTTCGTTATCTTCATCTTTTTTATTCTAATAAGTCTGTTCTTCGTTCAGACAAGATATTTGTGTGCAGAGTTCTCCATAAGCAGTTTTACTGTGTCGGGCCCGACACGGTAAAATTTTGCCCGACACAGTAAAAATTCAAATTTTATGCGTGCGACACAGTAAAAATTTTGCGACGCGGTAAGATCCGTGATAATCAGAAAACCAGAACATAAATTTTCTATAACTGAAACTTTAGTCCAACAAATCTACCGTATTTCAATTTTTAATGCAGAGCACTTAATTATGCCACATTGTCTTGCTTCACCTTGCATTATCAACTATCTCCTAGACCCTCGCTGAGCTTTACGAATGAAGGAACAAAGACAAATCATTTGTTTTCACACTTCCATGTAACCGTATAATTGCTAGTTGCATTTTTAAATATTTAAATATATTAAAATTAATTTAAAAATATATGTCTTTACTTCAGAATCACGTCTCTAGAATAATGATGGCATTGTGAGTCAACCATCATACTGTAATTTAATTGATGTACATGTATTATTGAAGAATTTAAAGGCATACCCCCAAAGTATTTTACTATTCTAAATTTCTTTTTTAAATTCAAAAACTAATCCGTAATTCGATCGACAAACAAAAGCAGGGCAAATTTACTTTTAAAGATGGTAAGTAATTCAATTGTATCGACCAGAATTTCCTCTGCTCGTCATTGCATGTGTAAAATGTAAATTTATACATAAAAATATCAAAGTTTAATACTTACAACTAGTAAATACTGATACATGTATATTATATATTTTCTTATAATCGTATTTTTAAAGTTGTGTGTCGTGTGCGTGTGTGTGTTGGGGGGGGGGGGTTCAGTTGGTTTGTGTTATAGTATGTACATTATTATATTTAATTGGAGACATTCTAGATGATTTCAATATCTATTAATTTATTTTTTTTTTTATTAATATGGACGATCATACCAATTTTATAACGAATAAGTGAGTCAAAATAGTTGTGTGTATGCTTGTGTAATTATAAGAATAGTAGTTCAGTTGCGAATATTACTGCTTTGCGTAAAGTCTGCAACACAGTAAAATTTCAAATGATGGAGAGCCCCGTGTGTGGAAAAAATAAGTTCTAAATATACTTGTATGTTAGAAGAAATTAGATTAAATTGTTTTTGTTTAGAATTGTTCGAACCTAACAAATAGTATGAAACATGTCAAACAAAATAAAACCTAAATATAGGTTGTATATATTTACAAATAAGATCATTATAATGACCGGAGAATGTGCAAAAAGCTAACTTTAAACGTTTTGTTGAAATCCATGTAACATCAACTTATTTGTCAATAACTTGCCTTGGTTTAATAATAGATCGTATTCAAAACTTGCTATTCGTATCGAATCAGTTGAGAGACACAACCAACATACGCAGGTGATGTTAGAATAATGCTACATAGATAAGGGAAGTTGACGATGGAAAAGCTATTGCCGTCCCGTTTGTCATTCAGTTTAGTTATTAGTTGGCCATTATCATCTATAGTCAGTAAAACATCCAAATATGAATTGGATATGGTAGACGTTGTAGCATCTTTTATTTCGAGTTCAGTGGGATATATAAAGTAGACATGTGAATGAAGTAAGTATTGTTAATTAATTAAACATCGTCCTTAAATCTGTTACATTAAAGTTTTAGAATTCATAGAATTTAAAATTAACTATAACAATTATTTTTAATTAATATTTTAATGATTTCCTATAAAGTATTTTTGATAAGGAATTAGGATAAATTACTTTGTTCATTTGACTTGCACTTCATTTTTAAATATCTGAAATGTTATTAATTTCAAATTGCTTGTTTCATTTAATGTTCAAATAATGTTTAAAATTATATAATTACATTATTAGCAATCATTTCTTTGTTGAATTATTCACGAAATAAGGTTTTTGGAATTTTTCTATTTTTATAAATTTTTGGCAATTTAATTTTACCGCTCATGAATTATGTTCCCTGTTCGGAACTCTCTAGTCAGAGAAGGTAACTAAATTTTCCCGAAGTTTTGTAAATATTGTCTTTGGAGTTACATGTAAATGTTTGTAAGTTTTCTGATTTTATTGTCTACTTTTGGTTTTTAACTTTTGTAACTGTAACAACTTTGGTAAGCGCTATGCATGACTGATTTCACGTAACCGATCGATCTTTATTTGATGTTTTAGTAATCGTTCCTTCTCTTAGCGGGTTTCGCTACAGGTTGTTTCAAAAGTTATTTACTTATCTGGCATTGTTTATTCGATAATTACTTGTACCTGTTTATTATTATTATTATTATTTTTGTGTGTGTAACAACTTTTATAAAATTCACTTTCTATCTGCTGACTTTACAATAAACATCATTCAACTTTAATCGGAATTGTTTCTCTTTGCCAATTTAGCATAACAGTAGAAAAAGCGAGTAGCTATCCTACCAGGCTAATTTCCCCAAACTTCACAGACGAAAAAGTCAGTGTGAAATATCTAAATGTCGATTTCAAGGCGACAGTAAGAATTTCCTTCTTCTTATGAAGAGGTTTTTGAATATATTCTGCTTCATAAGAATATAAAAACAGGTCGGTTAATAAAGGTGCATCAGAATTCCAACAGATTTTAGAAGACCTGGTCTTCAAAGACAACATAGAAATTATCAGTAAGGAACGGCAACATCTTTTTAATATCAACTTCAGAGTACTTTTTTGTAGGATCGGAATGATTTTTAACTAATTTTGCAGATGACCAATCACAAGACTTGTTAATTTACGAGTTTCATTTTTATTGATGAAGCAGTTGTCTATGATGTCAAAAATAATGCTCATTAATTTATTGGAGGAATGGTTGTATAAGTTTTTTTAGAATCCATATTTAATTTACGCCACTTTTTGAATATGTTTTAGAACAATGTAATACGTATGAAGTTTCTCCTTCACTGCAATTAATATTTTGGTGAGGACTAAGGATAGGGGCTTGGTTGAACATTTACCGGACCCTGCAATATATTTTTATTTGTAAGGATGTTATAAAGTGTGGGGATCTTACGGTAAATCAAACTCACTTCCATTGACTGGAATGTCAAATGTATTAAAGACTAATTGGTGATTTTAAAGAATTTTGTCCTTTGAAAGGGAACTGTGAGCATAGGTTGGATTATCAGATGTGGACTTAAAATCGAGTTCTTCTAAAATGCTGTTATAATAATGAACCTTACAAACAAAGACAAGCTTTGTCATCTGAAAGTAAAACATACTACATGTACTTTGTATGGTCTTTCTAATTCTTTTATCACTTCCGGTGTCTACTGTCAACGGAAGGACAGATGGTTTGCGTTTTACCCTTTAATTTTCTAATGCAATTCTATATTTATCTAAAACGTTTAATCCGTGCCATTCTGACAGTGTCAAGGTCTTTCCCTTTATATTTAGCACATCTCTAGCAAACTCCTCGTCTGAATTCATAATTGAAATTAAATTTGTCGCCATTTAGAAGAGCTGGGCTCCCTGAATTTAGGACCATTTTAAATGATAGCTTTTAGGTCGTAATTTTGAACTTTACTTACATCACTAGTAAATATGCGTCCAGCTGAACAACAGTTGAAAGAAGAGAAAGAACAAGAACACTTAGGAGGATTTTGTTTAAGATAGTCAATATCTACACACTGTAGAGTTTAGGATTGAAAATTTTGAATGCAACGGTTGGGGAATATTTGTGGGAAATACAATATGTACTTTTCAACTTGTAATATGCCAATACAGACTGAGCTTTTTTTATGATTAAGAATGTGGCTAATGTTTACAGCGTCCATACCTTTGTAAGCAAATTAAAAACGATCAGTTTATTCGAAAGGTTAATGAGACCAACATATAATCGCTGTATCTATAATTTACTTCAGGAGAGCATTTTGGCCTCTTGATTTATAATTCTTTATCTTATTAACCAAAGAAATATTTCCAAAAAAAGAAATATTTCCAAAAAAATAAAATCCACAAGGGGTCATTCTATAGGGGTCATTTTTCTTTATGTAGGGTATGCATATTTTAAGGGTGACGCCACTTTTTCTACAGGAAAAAAAGCGTTATTTTCCAATGACAAATAATAATTGGGAGTCATTTTTCGACGGGGGTCATTATTCGTCTTTATACCAGACCCTGAATCAATATCCAAATCATTTAGAAGGAAACTTAAATAATTTCATATTCATAATATTCTGGATAACTTCTTAACATGATATTTACATGTAGGGAGACAGTGGAGGTCCATTAATGTGTCCTATGGAAAACGAGCCAGACACGTGGTATGTAGCGGGAGTGACGTCATGGGGACTTGGTTGTGCTGTGCCAAATGTTCCTGGAATTTACACCGAGGTTTTTAAGTTCATTGACTGGATAAGAAATATCACAAATCTTGAACTTCCCATTGAATACGGCATAATTTGATTTATTATCAAGACGATCATATCTGAATCTAGATTTTTTTTTTCGAATTTCATAACGTTTTTAATGAACAGAAATCCAATTTCATTTTTGATGCAATGCATGTCACGGACGATCTCATTGTTTATTTCTTACATGATAAAATATATTTTTTTTACACATTTGTTTTACCATGGTTTTGTCATTAAGTCCTAAATCCAAAGATTTTTTTTCTGCATTTTGTTTATTTTGCTATATGCAATGATATTTATTCCTCATTTTTCTTGTTATAATATTTAATTTTTGTGCAAGTTAAATTAATAATTGAAAAATATGCTTATGCTAGTACAAATAAATATATCACCCGTCACTTCAAAATACTAGTTATAAAAATAGATCTATATACAGCTGCAGTTTTTAAACCAATAGCTTTATATGCCTTTTTATTCAATTGACCAATTTTCCATAATCTTATCATAGTGAAAAATATTGTCCTTCCCTCATGGATACTACATTTTTACATTTATTAATAATAATTTTCAAAAAATGAAAACGATTTCAAAGTTCTTTGGAATAATTAAATCTATGTATAAAAGCAATGATTACAAACCTACCTCAACCGTCATTTTATTTCTTGAATAAATACTTCATTGAATCGAAGGTACTTTTGTGACATTTTACTGATTTACTGTAATGCTGTAAAATTAACTTTGGTAGACTTGATTAATGTTAAGTATAAAATCGGGCCTTTTTGTCAGTTTGTAACGTTTTGAAATATGTATCTTATTTGTATACTTGGATACATTAAATTTTTTTTCTGTTGATTTCGATAAATCGCAATTAGTTTTACATACAAAATATAATATCTACTTATAAAGATTTTATATGGATATGTATCAAACCTTAGTTATAATCATGGGAATAATGTTGCAACATTTGTCAGTGGACAATCTTATGATATTTTATATGATTGAACCATGTACTAGTATATACACATTTTTAAATACATTGTATATTGTATATTGAAAAGAATATATATAAATATATATCACGTACATGTATATAAATTTTGTTGATATCAAATACATAAAATAAAATAAATCCAATTTAATATTTTATATGGTTGAAATATGTTGTCTATTGAAAAGAATGTTTATCTCATATGTATAAATTTGTTGATATCAAATATATGAAAATAAATAAATACAATCTTACCATTTTATATGGATGAAACATGTATTAACTTGTTTATTTGTACCTATATATTGAAAAGAATGTATATCTCGCATGAATAAATTCTGTTGATTTCAATTACATATAAGATAAATAATTAAAACTTTTTTTGAACTTTGTTTATTACTCATTTGACCATAAAGATACACTATCAAAATTGCAGGGATTTTTCTGATATATATTTATCTCATTGTATGGTTCCGCTCGGATCTTTGTTTGACCCCTCCGGAAACTTTACTATAGAGTAGGATTTCCCCCGGGGGAAAATCTCACAATAGAGCCAAATTTTCCCCTTGTTCTTTCTCAGAGTAGGATCCCCCTTGTACCAATTCTTAAATCATATTGACAATATTTTGGCTAAAGGTTTATGTCAACAGTTGAAAGTCAACTGATTTTCTAATGGAAATATGAGTGTTTTCGATTCAAGAATTGTCAAATTTAGTATAAAATCTAAAATTTCAAATCATTAAGTCACCCAAAATTTTAACTCATTCAAAATTGTAAAACTAGCTTCCACAGTATTTGAATCGGAAAAGTTCTTCAAAGGAAAAAAGCCAAAAACCAAACAAAACAAAAATACAAGAAACGATGTTTTTGCCAATCGAAACATAAGTACTGTATCTCCCCTTGACCCCTGTGGTGTAATTCTGGATTTGAAAGCAAAGAGCAAATACTGCCTTAAAGTTTTACAAAATTTCATTTTTTTAAAGAAATAGATGACCCATTTTTAGTCTCATGGCAATGACAGCTATTTTGGACATTTAAACCCCAGAAACTTGGAGAGACACTAACACATCAATATTATGTACATGTAATATGAAATACAATTGGAGAAAAAAAAATCCATTTCAAATAAAATTCCATGGATACAGTTAAAAATTTGTCAAACCGATTACATTGTATCATTTTTCAGAACTCAGTTTGACCAGATGAAAAGAATAATATTTTAATGATTCAAGAGAATTGGTAGGTCGGTTACTGAGGAAAAAAAAGAGTTTCAAATTTTCAATTTTCATGCTTCGTACTTTCAATGGAACTGGTCGCCATTTTGAAGATGGGACATTCGTAATAATGTGTCGCCCCTTTCCCCTCATACATAAACATAGCCATGATATTCTATTGGGGGGGGGGAGATTAGCTCTGGGGGAAATCGCACTCTATATCTAATACATAGAGCAGGATTTTCCCCCCGGAAAACTGACTCTGATGTGGGATTTCCGGAGGGGAAATCCTACTCTAGAGTCATTTTTTCGTGGAGCCAATTTGGGTGGAAGGGAGAATCCTTCTCTAGAGCCAGTTTTCCGGGGGGGGGGGGGGTTCAGAGGGGAAAGCCTACTCTACAAGACCGGTAAATATACGAAAACTTTAATTAAATGTGACAGTCATATTATCGATCTGCAACATTATGTTAGCGCCCCGAGCCCCCACCTACACCACACCTAAAAATTGTCTGTCTAGGTTGGCGTGAGTCGTTCGTTATCAATTCTTTTTGGTCGTGCTGTAAAGCATTATTCAGCTAACCCACTCTCTTTCCATGTCCTGAGACTGAAGTTTGTTTTTGTTCTGTCTGAAAATCTGTTATTCTGTTTCTGCCATAAACTTAGTCTTTCTTCTAACTTTTGAACTATAGAAGTTAGAGACCACATTTCACAATTATAGAAATTTATGAGAGCTTTATTTTTTAGCAATCGCTTTGTCCGTCTGTTCCAGCAATCGTATCCAGGCCATAACTCCGTACGGAAAAAAACATCTCTGAAACAAAGATTGCTTGTAATCTGAGAATATGCATTGACCTTCACCGAAAGTCATATCTAGGAAAATTCAAAGATGGCCAAAATAAAGTGTAAATTTGTGTCCGGTCTATAACTTTCTAATGAAGAAACATTGGAAGCTCATACCTTCAAACAAAAATTACAAAGACACATGGGAAACCGGAGATTATTTAGATATGTTCAAGGTCACTGACAGCAAAAAATGGCAAATACCCGTAACCTACAAGGATCAAATATCGAAATATTTTTCAGAGACTTGAATTCCATACCAGAGATAGGTCTTTATTATGTATCATGCAGTAATCATTGAATACTGTATTTCTCTTGAATTAAACTTCTCCACGACTGACACCAATCATTGCCAAATTTGATACATTAAGAAATGTGTGGAATTAAGAGTTTTCACAATTTCCTCAATTACGAGGGTATAAATCGATTATTATGTTTATGATAAATGCATATACTTTACATCATTCACAACTCTAGAAAAAGCAAATTTACATGTAATTATTGCCTTAACTCCAAAGAAAAGAAACAGTTTTAAGTGCAATATTGCAAGAGCCCCAGAGAAAAGAAACAGATTTACATGCAATTGTTACAAGAGCTCCAGAGACAAAATGTTATTATTGCCAGAGCTCCAGAGAAAAGGCAGAATATTGCCAATGCTCGAGAGAGAAGCAGCAGATAAATTATGTGTAATTATTGCCTATGCTCCAGAGAGAAGAAGTAGATTTACGTGTTATTATTGTATATGCTCCAGAGAGAAGAAGCAAAATTACGTATAATTATTGCCAGAGCTTCAGAGATAAGAAGCAGATTTACATGTAATAATTGCTAGAACTCCTAAGAGAAGAAGCAGGTTTACGTGTAATTATTGCCAGAGCTCCTGAAAGAGGAAGCGAATTTGCGTGTAATTATTGTCAGAGCTCCTGAGAGAAGAAGCAAATTTACGTGTTATTATTGTCAGAGCTCCTGAGAGAAGAAGCAAATTTACGTGTAATTATTGCCAGAGCTCAAACCTGGGGTAATGGTAATGTGTAATGGTAATGCATTGTTATCATTACATTTTTTCAAAGTAATGGGATGCAATGAGTAATGAATCTATCTTTCAATTACAAGTTATTTTAATGTAATGCATTACTTTCTTTAAAATGTCAGTAATTACCATTTCTTTTCAATTACATTTTAATTACATTATGTATATTATTCTCTTTATTATTGAATTTGAAAGAAATCACGGTAATTTTTTGGGGGAGGGGTGTTTATTCAATGGTGATTGATAGACACAGTAAATAATTGTTTTGATATTTATGAAATAAGAGAACCAGAAAAATAATACATGTATTAAAAGAAATGATAGCCTCAAAACAAATGACATTAGTATACTAGTATGTATACTATGACAACCAACTAAGATTTTCTTTTCAAAAGTTCATTCTGGTAAAATGGACTTGGTAAGCTAAAGACAAGAGCAGTATGGTCAAATGGAAACTGAGGCCAAATGTAAATATTTATATTATCCAACATTCATTTTTGGCAGCTTGAGAATCACTGCTATCTAGGTACTGGTAATTATCACCTTTAATTGTGTTAAATTTACATTTTCATTGATTATGCCTGCCCAGCTAATTACAAGTGCTAATTTATTAAATTAACAATGCATACTCATTTTACAATTATACCATTACCAGTTAATAAGATATATAACATATTACATAAAACATAGTGAGGAATGTTTATCATTAATTTAAAAAAAAAAATCAGAGGAACTTACATCAGATACTGAAGAAAATAATTACAACATTGAAAGTGTTCCGATCCACTTTCTTTGTCAACTGTAAATTGGTAAACTACATGAAATTGATAAATGTATGTTAAATACAAATTAGCTCTAACTTACAGACCTAGAGAAAGCATATCGACCAAGCATAATGTCATAAAATTTGTGGTTTTGGGGGGTAAAAATGTAATGTGTAATGTAATTAATTATATACACTTTAACAAAATAATTGTAATATAACAATTACTTTTCTGAATGGGAGCAATGGTAATTATATAGGTAGAAATTCTAAAGTAATTGTATATGCATTACATTTTAAAGTAATTGACCCCAGGTCTGCCAGAGTTTCAGAGAGAAGAAGCAGATTTACATGTAATTATTGCCAGAGCTCCAGAGAGAGGAAGCAAATTTATATGTTA